TCGGCCACCGTCACGTTCTGCACGATGATCTGGTGGCCCGAGTTGGCCTGGTTCACGATCTGCTGCACCACCTTCATGATGTGGCTGTCCACCTGCCAGGGACAGGGGCTGCATTTACTGACACAGTTAAGGGCAGTTATCACTGCTCGTGTCACCCCTGGGCAGTGACAGGACAGCTCTGCTCCAGCTGTGCACCCCAGCACAGACTCTGCAATGTGCCACCCAAGGACTGCCTTACCTCATGTCTTGTTCCCTCTATTATTTCGGTAGCTTCACTGGTCTCCATGTCTTCGGTAGAAGTCTGGAAGACAAAATAAGATTATTCTCTTTTTAGGTTCTTATAAAAAGAATTTTATCACCAAGATATAATTCACTAAGATATTTTACACAAGCCTTTGTGTTCCCCTCACATGCAGTAGCTGCTCCAAAGACAACTCCTTGACATTCCCTCCCAATCCCATTATCAGGAACTACTTAAAATGAATGCACAATGTTCACAAATAACTGAAAGAGAAAGTCCTCCCTCAGCAGGATTTGGCCACACAGCAGATTTTTCTCCTACTGGAGAAGAACTACGGCAGCACTCAATAACTGAGCTGTGTGACCCTGCTGGGATGAGAGCTGGCTCTGTGTGACAGAGGGGAGAACGTGAAATGCAGAATTCATTGCTTTTGGCAGCCTCTGTTAGAAACAACACAGATTATCTGGGACAAAGTAAGGTAGATAGAAATGGGAGAAAACAGGAGAGAAAGCTGAAGCAAGCTTGTGAGGACTTAAAATCTGGCGTGGTCAGAAGTTCTGAGGCTCAGCCTCCCAGCACACACAGCACTTTGGGAGGGTGGGGAAGCTCCAAGTGCTTTCCCTCCTAACAAGGCTGATCCCACTGGCTCCTGGGGCCGTGCAGGCAGGGCAGGGCCTGTTTTACCTTCTCCCAAAAGCCTGGAGCAGGAACGTGAACAAGTGCAGGGTTTTCCCTGACCAAAGCCTGTGCTCAGTTCCCAGTGAGCAGGCTGGCTGCCCCTTCTCACCTCGATGATGTACTCCTGGGTGTCTGCCACCACTGAGGAGAACTCCACCAGAACCGTGTGTGGATCCTCCGAAAGGACCGTGGCTGCCAGGTTGTCAGCAGACTGGCTCTCCTCTGACACCATCACTTCTTCCACCTCCTTCATAGCAAGGAGGCAGCCACCTGCAGGGAATTCCAGAAAAACATCATTGTTTGTGTCCATCTCCAGTAGCAGCTGGAAGGTGCTGTGCAGCACCAGCAAGGGGATGCCATGGACGAGTGACCAGTGGCACTTGAGGGGCTCTTGGCCCACCAGGACAGGCCAAGGAACAGCCCAGGAGAGTCCCTGTGACACCAGGAGCAGAGCAGCTCTCCAGTGCAATTCCAAACATGGGTAAATTCAGGTGGTAAAACCACTCAGGGTATCCAAGCCATGTGTGAAAAACATACAGGAAGAATTTGGGTAGATTTTAAATCATTGATCTTTTCTGCTGATACATCTCAGTAGCTCCTACAAAAGTCAATTTTTTCCTCCAGTAAACTTGTATTATTCCTTTGGAATAACACCATCAGCACTACCTGAAGAAGTCTGGAAATCCCTGCTTAGGAGCAGCAAGCCCAGTGCAACTAATCCCACCAAACCAGATTATTGCTGAGAACTTTACCCAGACATTTCCTTCCCAGAACACGCCCACTTCCATGTGAGTCATTAAATCCACAGAATGACCAGGTTGGAAGAGACCTTAAAAATCATAGAGTCCAACCCATGCCCTATACCTCAACTAAACCATGGCACTGAGTGCCACATCCAGGCTTGTTTTAAACAGATCCAGGGATGGTAACTCCACCACCTCCCAGGCAGGCCATTCCATTTCTTTCTGTAAAAATAATCTGATATCCAACCTGTATTTCCCTTGGTGCAGCTTGAGGCTGTGTGCTCTGGTTCTGTCAGTGGCTGAGATGCACCCTCAGCACCACTCCCAGCCTGCCCAGCTCAGGCCTAGGGCAGCCCAGCCCTGCTCACCTTTGGTTCTGAGGTGCCTGCTGAGGGTGCCCTACTCACCTTTGGTTCTGAGGTGCCTCTTGAGGGTGCCCTGCTCACCTTTGGTTCTGAGGTGCCTCTTGAGGGTGCCCTGCTCACTTTTGGTGGTTCTGAGGTGCCTGTTGAGGGTGCTGTGCTCACCTTTGGTTCTGAGGTGCCTCTTGAGGGTGCCCTGCTCACCTTTGGTGGTTCTGAGGTGCCTGATGAGGGTGCCCTGCTCACCTTTGGTGGTTCTGAGGTGCCTGTTGAGGGTGCCCTGCTCACCTTTGGT